AGCTATCTAATCACTCGCCACGTATTGAACTACGGCGAGTGATCAGATGATCGGTGGGCGGAGATCGCCGAACTCGCCAACTTTGAGCCATGCTAGATCGCCGAGGTCAAATCTTTCGATGCCAATTGCGTGTCAGTCCGCACCCTCAAGAGATTCACCGCTCTCCCCACTAGGCGATTTCTCCCTTCTTCGACCTTCGTTCTTTCCGTGCAATCCTCCTTTAAGCATTGGAGGGTAGTGGGGAAGGGGGAGGGGGTGCTCGATGGCACATCAGTGGCGAAAAGAGCAGAGAATTTTGTTAGGAAGAATGCAAAATGGGCCCCTTGTTTGGCCGCACAGAAACGGTTTCTCAGTATGGTTTCCTAGGTTCCACCGTGAGCGCTTTGGCGGTGGGGCGCGCAGTGCCACAGTGGTCGTCAACTGCAGGGAGCGCCATCGTTGTAGAAAGGGGGTATGGCAAGGCCACAGTTCTGCCGCAGGGAAGTGCGGGCTCAGGTTAGGACCTGCTTCGCTGCGAGGCCAGGAACACGCGCAGTGTACGCCTCATTGCGCAAGCGGCGAGGCTGACGCATGTGCGGTGAAACATGCGCCGCAAGAATTTTGGAGGGCCGCCTCCGGGTGGTGGCGAAAAAAGGTGCTATATTGCCCAAGGCTTAGCCCTGATCAAAGGACCGGTGTACACATCCGCCGGTGCTCCAGTGCTCAACAGCGCGCCCCAGTGCAACGTGGTTTGGTCACCTCACGCCAAACTGTTGTGTCGCTGCTGGCCACACGCTTACCAACACATATTGGAAGGAAGCGCTTTTCAAGTACTGCTCAGCAACTAGTGCACCTTTTGTCGTGTAAGCGCCCTACCTCACTTCCTTGGCAGCCAAGCTACTGCTTCATGTGGGCCGCATATGCTTCACAGTGCGCTCCCACTTTGCCGTAATCGGTTCTGAGTGTGTCAGCCATGTTCTAATGATTGATCTCAAAGGTATCCTCCATGGAATTCCATATTCGACTTGGTGGCTCACCATTCGTTGTGACTCCAGAATTCGCTCGCGCTTGAAAACATGTTCACGATGTTTGGAAAATAAAATACAGTATTTGCAGTAGCACCGCAGTTTTTAATGGCTCTCTAGTAACATGTAATTTACCGCAGGAAGAACAGGGATTATATTTACCCTCCGAATTCTTCAGGGCCCAAGATTCAAGTTTTTGGGCTACTTCATCCGATTATGAAAATAAGGAAGCGAAGTGAGCCACCAGTTGTAAAAAAAATAAATAAAAAACTTGCCAAATCGAAAAAGTCAATGAACTGTGAATTTCCATAATCCGCCCAGTTCAGTCACACCCGAAGCATGCGCATCATGCCCAGGTCGACCGAAAGTACGGCACAGATGACAAGGAGCCAAGTGAGTGATGGCAGGGGTCGATGAGAGTTCGCTATTAAAGAGCCAAAAAAATTTAGTGATATGCAAAATAAGGTGATGACAAATACAGTCGAGCTGTGCGCCTTATGTTGGCAACAGTATTCATCCTCTAGGGAATATACTCTTAATTTTCAAAACAGTATGAATTCGATGAAACATAGGTCGAGCTCACAATAGATCTAATGTAATGATTCAGGTACCCTAGGAGGCCGGCGCTCGCAAGAAGTCAGACGTTGTACGAGTTGCAGGCGTGATTGCAAGTAGACGTTGCAATGGATCACCTTGAACTTTGAAATAACAAAAAAAAAAAAAAAAATGCGAAATCCCTGTCGTTGCGCGCGACTCTCCGATGACTTTGCTTCTTGCACACGACGGTCCTCCTGGGAATGGGGTTGGAAGGGAAGGAGGGGAGAGACCCAATGTTCAGTACACATTCTGAGATTGATAGTAGGAATTTATGCCACGTGAGAACGAAGACTGCCCTACTTGGTCCAGCGGATGTATACGAAACAAAAAAATCTGCTGTATTCACAAAAACAATTCGAGCACATTCGTTACACTCGAAGTTTGCGCTTCCCTGAGATAGGTTTCATCGATTAGCGTTTCTCTGATATCTTATAGCATACATTATACGAAGTTATACGAATTGATGTCCATTGAGGTGTTGGGAGGGGAGGGGTGGAGGAAGGGGTGGGGCAAACTCTGATTATATGTATATGGCGCGCTATGTGCTTTCAATTATTTAAGCAGTTTTTATACTTTCCACATCGGAATAGTCATCCAAACCACTCTGTTTTCCGGACGTGGTTAAAGCTAGTTAAGTTTAAGGAGAGTTATATAATTTTGAAAAGTGCCTTTCAAGAGTGCTCGCGTTCACCCCTTCCCCATTTCAGTGCCTCCAGCTGCAGGATTCCGATCTGCTTCAGCGATGGGCCAGCCCCGTCCAGTGAGTCGCCAGAGCGACACGGGAATCGGGCACTGTAAGTCTGTTGAATTTCACAAAACGGCGATGAATTTCTGAAGTTAACGTAATACAATAGTGTAAGGTGCTTAAATTGAGATTTTTAGCATTTAAATGTAACAATTGTGTACACTTTTTGATATTTAAACTTTATTATTTGTTAGCTTTATTTATTTACACATTTATTATCTATTTATCTGCGCTGCTTACTAATTCTTTGCCTGATATTTGTTAGATTTGTCATGGCAACAGGCTCTATTGCTTGCCATCAATGCCGTTCCTGATGGCACTCTCACTGACTTCATTACTTCCCATCCCTCGGCAATACGTCTAGAGCCTTTAGCACCGCTATGTGACAACGGTGTTTTTTTCATACATCTTACTTACCCCTTTCGGTATTGAAAGTATCGCAAATATTTCGTGCGCCAGCAGGAGCAAAACGTGGTCTTTTTCGCGGGCGGAAGGTGCCTCAAGCCCATTAAGGACTCCCCCGTCCCTTTCGACGTTTCCTCCCTTTGCCCGTCCACCAACGAGCTGCTCGGCTTTCGCCGTCGAACTCTAGCCGTTTCAGTAGAGAGGCGGAGCACCGGATTCACATCGACGACACAGCACCAATGCGACTCGCCCAAGGGTAAAACAGGGGTCAGCTTCTGCAAAATTTGAGCAAATTTTCCATGATCTTTTCTTCCTATGTTTTCCTTCAATGCACTCGCTTCCATCTTTACCTTTCATTTCCACTGGCGACCAACTTTTCAATCCATCCGCAATCATTCGCTTCTATTCGTTCATAGAATTTCAAAAGTGAAAAACACATCAAGATTTCTCAATCTCTGTTCCGAAATTCTGTGAAATAGAACTTTACAGGCGTTGGGTCTCGATATCAATCATACTGTACACTTCCACGACCCGAAGAGATGGACGCGGGAACGCTTAGCGAGATGCATTCGAATCTTCACGCATTTTATCCGAACGGAGCGCCGAAGGTAGGTCTTTTTTTGCCTAGCTCTTTTACCAGCCGTCTGCATTTTAGAGCTGTTTTCCTAAAAAGTTTTCGGACCTATAAAAACATAAGTGCATTCACTTAGGCTAATTAGCAACCCGGCGTACCCTGAGGCGCAATTCTTGATTTGAGTGATCAGATCATCATTCTGAAGTGATTTCGAGTGCGTGGCGTATTGCTGAGGGATTGTGCAAACCATGGGCCTTTTGTCGCCTTTTCTTGTCCTTTCGAATACATGCTTCCCGCTTTTGATTGCGTTTGATTTCTCGTTTTACAAACGTCTCTTCAGCTGGTTTCCCGTCCACCATCTGTGGCCACACTTGTTCCTGGTATGGCTCCACCAGGAATGGCATCGGATTATGTACGTCCTCCTTCAGCTTTTATTGGTCCCAATGTCGTCATGCCTCCTCCACCTTCACCGAAGCAGAAGGAAATCATCAGCTGGAACACACTTAGTCTGATGTGTAGCATGCAGGTAAACAGTTCAATGTTATTACTTGAACGTATGGGTGACACAAGACCACGACGGTGCTTCTGGCTTGATTTTAATCACTATTTGAAGTAGAGTAGTAGGTTTTAATTATAATTTGGAATGAGCGGTAAAATCTAAAGGACTGCTAATTTTCTCTTGACCCCAGTTCCACTACTGGGCATGGTGGATCAATCCCTAGCGTAAGTAGGATAGGAGTTATCCTCAAAAGCAGAATAGTTCCGTAGTCGTAGGTCTGATGCACCTGTCAGAGGCATAGAGCTTTGTCATTCCGCTGAAGTTCTTGCTCAACTACCTAAGCGGTGGTATGTCTGCGTCTCGCAAATTCTATGTACACTCTCATCTGTATCCATGTTGCGACGCAGTAGTTCTTCCTTCGTTGTGGAGTGGTCCGTCGCCTGGGAAAAAAGACCGTTAACTTTATTCGGTGGACAGTTTCTTTCGTAGTTTTTCTACTGGCGGCCTACGTAGCTCTTTTTTTCGATTTCAAGTAAAGTAAGTTACCCATTCCACTGAACCCTTTGTGTGAAGGAAAACAAATCAAGTTACTCCCTCGTTCCAAATGGTCTTTTTCAGTGAAATATCCATGAAACTACTTAGAGAAATGTAACCATTTCTTAACATTCGACACTTATACCCCCGCGACCCTAAAATTTTTATTATTTTATTTTTTATGCTTACTAATACGCCATCCTGTTTGCGCTAGCACAATTATAAACGCTCATTTTCTGCTCACGCGCATTCTCATTGATGAGATGGCGCCCAGGATGAGCTTAAGAGCAGGCGAAGGCTCTGAATCAGTGAACCTTTCACCCTATTGTCCTACCTACCTCCAAGTCCTCTACGCCTACGCTCAAAGGAGGAATTCACGATAAGAACGAAGGTCAAAGAAGGGGAAAATTGCATAGTTGGGAGACAGGACCTCCTGAGGGTGCTGACCGACGCGCAATTGGCAGCGAAAGATTTGACCTCGGCGATCTAGCATGGCTCACTCTTGGCGCGGTTGGCGGGGTACGCCCACCGACTATCTAATCACTCGCCGCAGGTCTATACGTGGCGAGTGATTAGATAGCAGAGAGAGCGTAGTGTTGAAGAGGGCACAGCGATGAGAGTCGCATCAATGCGCAAATCAACGGGCAAGGAAGGGGTCCCATTTCTCGGGTTTTTAGCCGTTTCAAATGGCTTCTCCTTCATCCGCTCCACTAACCACCTCTACTCTTCTTTCCAATGAGCTAAGTTTTCATCTTAAATTCTGCCATTGAGCGCTATTTCATCAATGGGAGGGAAGCAGAAAATATGTGTTACACACCACCGGAAACTAATGTTGTGCTCGTTCTTGGACACCGAATCCTTACATCGCGTTTGTGTTGATAAATTGGCCCCATTGGGTGCATAACCTGGCGTTCAACTCTTAAACTTTAAATGCGTTTATAGCTGTTGGGCTCTAACTACCCCTCCAAGCAGCATTCCGAAAAAAAAAACGACCATTTGAAAAATTGGAGTTGTGGTACTGGTCGGATAACACTACGACTTTTCTTGGCTCAATAACAACAATTGAAGCTCACTTTTCAGGTTCTGTGCTCCTTGGCAATTTTCGGTATCGGTGTCGGTCGTATGCTGGAAGGGGCAAAAATGGGCGATTGGAGTCGAGTTAGCCTACGCTCACTTCTGGTGATGGTCGCTGGATCTGTCGGGAATTTATGCAGTACGGCAACGAAGCTATGCAGCTGCTACTCTCGTATTTTGTCTTACAGCATTCAGTGCAATACTTGCCATACCGCCATTCATCATGGGTAAGTTCAAATTTTTTTTGCACTTTGAAAGCGAGAAAGCAAAACCAATTGGAAAAATATTCACTGATTAGATGCATAGGTGCGGGAACGAAAGCAGTTATCTGTACTTCGTTAGCTAACTCTCGTCGTCAGGAAAGTAATGGGAGGGTGTAACCGTATCACACCGTAAAAATCCCCTATTAGTATGGTAATTAAAAAACTGGTTGATTGCGACGCCTCTTTTCAGTACCAAATATTAGCACGAGGTGCGAGTAATTAGAGTGTACCTCGGGGGCTCACAGGTGGTACTAGTGATTCCTTATTCTATTAACTCTGCATTTGAACCCTTGAGCAAACTTCGTTTATTCTCCAACAAAAGTGAGCATAAATACTGGCGAGTCGTTGATGCTCGCCGGCTTGTATTGACCTAGAAGGCTTGTTTCCTCTGAATAGGTGATCGTCGCTAAAGCGGGATCGCTCGGAAAGCTGGACGGCATCCGCGCGGACGTCAGTCCTCTTTTCCCCTCCGTCCTCGGGATAACCCCTCTCCCCCTCTGGCGAGAGGAGAGGCCGTACTGATGGGACTTCAAGAACCATAAGATTCGTGACACAATTGGTCACCCGACCACTCGACGTTTGCCTATTTCGGATGTTCCGACTCCCCTGCATCGCCTGTGTGCAAAAGCCGAGCTGTTTACAACGATCTAGTTTGTCTCAAGAGCAGATGAAAGCTTAAATTGAATTTGAAAGAGGCAAAACGTGCCTACTGTGGATGGGGCTAGACCCCTGGCAGACGTAAACCTCTCGTTTTCTCTAGAAAAGGCGCGCCAGTGGTGGTTTCGTAAGGGCATACCGTTGGTGACCGCCGTTTCCGTGGAGAACTCCGCCTCTAGGTTTCAGACTCGGTCGACGATTGGTTGATGGTGAAGACGCCGATATGGGGTTATGACTCTTGGAATGACTATTTGATGGGTGGAGTTGCCTTTGATTAACTAGGTGACGGTTGGCTGTTGCCGCATCAGTCAATGCATGATTGCTGCTGTCATGACTCCATCCCAAGAGTTAAGCTATTCCAAACGACCCGTGTTTTGGCCGATGACTCTCCCGGAAATCACTGGCAGGAATCGGATGTCGTTTTCATGAGTTTTAGATTGTTTGCCTTGCTTTTTTTCACCCCTTCACCATTCATCA